TAGCAACTAATAATAATAATAATACATAGTATAATAATTATAATGTAATATCAAGATTATGAATATAATAGAATAATTCTAAAAGTAGATATTTTGAATTATCATTTGATAGATAAGTCAAATAAAGCGTTGTATCTCATCTCATAGGAATTGTTCATTAAAAAACTATTCATTATTTATTTGCATTGACAATTAGTATCACAAAAAACATCCATATATGATATTATGACCTTTTATGATTTGCTAATATCATTTCATTTCCTGACACTTCACTCGACCTGATCCGATTGATTGATGCTAAAATGTACGATTGATGCTAAAATATCCGATTGATGCTAAAATGTACGATTGATGCTAAAATATCCGACTGATGCTAAAATATCCGATTGATGCTAAAATATCCGATTGATGTAAAATATCCGATTGATGCTAAAATATCCGACTGATGCTAAAATATCCGATTGATGCTAAAATATCCGATTGATGCTAAAATGTACGATTGATGCTAAAATATCCGATTGATGCTAAAATGTACGATTGATGCTAAAATATCCGATTGATGCTAAAATGTATAATGTTATAAGAGCAGCTTCATTCGGCCTAATCTTCTGATTGATGCCAAATTTTCAAAATTAGAATATCGTGTTGAATTTTTTTTCTTATTTGAAAAAAATTATTTTCAATTTCAAAATTAACTGCAATAATGCAGTTGCAGTTTTGAAGAGGAGAATAAAATCATATGATAAACATGATTGCATGTGATAGCTGAGATGTGTATGTGTATGTGTATGTGTGTATGTGTTTGTGTCAACAATATCTGGCTTGAAATTTAATCAAAACCAGCTAATCTATTATCACATTGTCTTTAGGCGTATGCTAGGCTTAAATTTCCATAGAACACCTGTTTAAGCTTAAATTTCGATCGCTAAGTAAACCCTTTTTTTTCTGTTTATTTTTTCATATTTGTTTAGTTGAAATATTTCAATTAAATTTAAAAGCTTTACTTCATAGTAATTTCCATTTAAATAACAACTAAAAAAATAATCCATTTTTACCTTACATATTCTTCTATTTACAGAGAGAGAGAGAGAGAGAGAGAGAGAGAGAAAGAGAGAAAGAGAGAGAGAGATGGAAAAATACTAAAATGGAGAAGAGAAGAGAAGAGGGATAGATAAATTAAGCAATCGTAAAAGACCTTTTACCGATCATCTCTCAATCATCATTCCATATAATATATCATTTCTTCTATTCTTTTATTTCTTCCCTTTTTTTTTGTAAAATTGTCATGACCTTTAACCTGTTGATGAAATAAATATTCCTAAAATGTGTAATGTTAACATTTTTGAAGAATGAAAAACACCCACATACAGACACACACACACATACACACACACACATGGGATATGCATATGTGGCATTCTTTTTTTTTATGCCTAAAAAATTATTTTTAAAATCATTTAGGAAGGCAAAATCTCATGGCTGGTTATTATTCCTTCCACCAATGAATCATTCCGTTTTTTTCTTTCTCTTACTCTTTTTTTCCATCTTTTTTTCTATGTAAATGTTGTTTTTTAATTGATTTTTCCCTTTCTTTTTTTTCTCTGTTTGTTTCTTCTCATTTGCTTATTTTAAAATTTTAATTTCAGCATTTATGCATCTTCATTTTATGATAATTACTGTTTATTTTGATTCCCGTGATAACGTCATGATAAGAAATGATAAGAATAATAAGTTCATTTTGATTAAAAGGAAAAAAAGAATGATTTCATTCAGTCTAATTTCTACCTTTGATTTCATCAAAATTAGATTTCGTTATTTATTTGCTTCCTTTTTTTCCTTGTTAAAATTTGTAAACAATAACATTGTTGCCAGCTTTTCTTTTTGTTTTAGCAAAATTAATGAAGCAAAATTTGTAATCAAAATAAATTTAATAAATTTATTGTTATCTTTTCTGATAAGTAATTTGAAAATTTCATTGATTTTTTTCAATTTTTATTTAAGCGTAATTATTGAAATTAATTAATCAGCAAACATATTACCACACAATATTTAATGAATTAAAATTGATTGAATTTACATATACATATATTCTTATCATACCAAAATTAAAGTGATAAATTTTAAAGAATTTAAATTTAATTTTAAATTATACATTAAGACTAATGAGTATTAGTAATCAGTAGTGATGTTTCCTTACATTGTCAATTCTTAATTACCCACCCACTCAATTAACAACATCTCCTCTCTCTCTCTCTCTCTTTCTCTAATTTCTCCTTCCACTTCTTTGGAATTTACTGATATTTGAGTGCCAATTGCAGTTAAGTTTATCCCATCATATTTTCTATTATTTTCGTTTTACTTTTAATTTTTCATTCATACGCACTTTTTTTTTACTCCAATACTAATCGATTATTGATTGATTAATTATTGATCGATTATTGATATATTAATCGATTATTGATTGATTAGCTATTCTAAAATTATTCCTTTACCCATTTTCTGTTTCTTCGTCATTTTTAAACTTTTCTTCCAATATAACAAAAAATTTACATCACATTCGTCACTATTATTGACTAAATTTCTTATCAGTTTTATTGATGAATTCATCATTCATGCTAATTGTAAGATCGATTCAATGTAGAAACACTAATTAATTATTAATTAAGTAGTACTAATTAATTACTAATTAAGTAATATAATTAAGTAATACTAATTAATTATTAATTAAGCAATACTAATTAATTGTTCAGAGTTATATTAAAATATATTAATTAAAATTTTTAAGTAACCTATTAGGTAGATAATAGCCTGTGAAGTATTATTGCTAGCTAAGCTAATATATAGTGTGCAAAGTAGTTCTCCCTAAAATTTAATTGCAAATTAAAAATATAAAAATTTAAAAGATCATATTAAATAATCATTAGGCATTCCTTAGGCATGTTTCATCTATTCATGTAAAAATTTTAATCCCATATAGGAATTCAATATTTCTACTTAAATAATCAATTCTTCTTAATCAATTGATACTTGAATAATTATTTATGTGAGACATAACTGTCATCATCTCGTTTTTATGCTACTATGATACATTTTAAACTTCTTAACTTCTTTATTAGTATATCTTATCAATACGATATCATTATCATAAAAATGTTTATTGAATTAATTAAAAATAAATTTTAATTTTTTTTGTTTTAGTTCAACGTGAAAATATTTTTATAGTAAATTAGAGATGGATGAAATTTTAACTTTTAATTTTCGTTTTGTGAATTTAAAATTTCAATTGAATATGTGAGTGATTCATTAACACAATATGTTTAATTTCCATACACACACACATATATGTGTATGTGTGTGTGTGTGTGTGTGTGTATGCATTAATATATTCCTATCATTTGATGATATGTTAACTTTACCAAATCATTTTCACTGTTATGTTCAAATTCTCTCTCTCTCTCTCTTTCTCTTTCTCTCTCTCTCTCTCTCCTTCTCTCTCTCTCTTCAATATTTGAAATACAAAATAAAATTATCATTCATTCATTTTACTCTTTTCAATCGTTCCATTTCATTTGTCATTTTAACATTACAAAATTTTTATGAAACAATTCTTTCAAAAAACAAAAAAGAAATAATTTATTCATTTGGTGAAAAATAAAAGACGAAAAATTGCCAGCTTTCTTCTTTCATACATTATTTTTTCGCATATTTTTCTCATTTATTAATTTCATTAAAATATTTCTTTTGTTTTAGGTAATTATTGTTTTTTTTATTAACGTTAATTTAAATTTTTACGCTTAAAAATATATTTGTTTAATTAATTTGATAACATTTTTAATGTTAAATAATAACTCAAATGATAAGCGATAACTCAAATAACTCAAATGATAAGTGATTATTAGTAAGGTTGTAAATTCAGTACTAGTAAGGTTGTAATTAATAATATTTAATATTGAATAATAATTCAAATGATAAGCGATATGTAATTATTAGTATGGTTTTAATTCGGTATTAGGAAGGTTGTAATTAATAACATTTAATATTGAATAATAATTCAAATGATAAGCGATATATGATAAATGAGAATATAATTATTGAAATTATTCATATTTATTTTATTAATGACTTAATTAACTTGATAATTTTGAATTAATTAACAAGTAAGCTTAATTTATTGAAATGTTTTCGACGATAAAAAAAGAAAGCAAATTTATAAAATTTAAATTTATAATTTTTATAATTTATTTTCTTTATTTCACAGATATTATTACTTTAATTAAAGATTTTTTTAATCAGATACTTTTATTTTAATTAATTAATTATTTGATTGTTTTCATTGGCAAATATTTCGTACATAAAAATATCTTTTAATACTATTACTCTATTTAAATTCATCCATTTTGTTACTATTCTATATAATTCTTAATTATTCAAATTTGAATACTTAAATTTTGATTCTTTGAGTTCGGCGGATCGAAATTTAAGTATTGAAATATTCAAAATGGTTGTATTGTAAATTTACAATACATTTTTTCCGCACTGTGAGTTTAGAAGAATATGGCGGCGATGATCTTGGCCCAAGTAGTATAGTGGTTAGTACTCCACGTTGTGGCCGTGGCGACACAGGTTCGATTCCTGTCTTGGGCAGCTGATACGTCGGTTATTTTTGCATTTTCAGAATTTCAATAGCAAAACGAAAAAAATAAAACAGTAGATGGATTTTATAGCATCTACAACGATATCAATTCTTACTTCTACTGCTGATATACCATCAATCGAAGCGTTACAAGTAAGTCATTTTTCAAAGATTTTGAAAAAAAACAAATAATTTTAATTTTTAAAATTATCATTGATTTTTTAAAGTGATAAGAAATGAAGAGAGGATTTCATTTATATTTCATATAATTCTTTCAATGTAAATCTCTTATTTCTTCTAATTAAAGAGCAAATTTCTATGGGCGCTAATTCTTGGAATAGTGCTAGCATTCGTACTTGGATTTGCAATGGGCGCAAATGACGTTGCGAATGCTTTTGGCACATCAGTTGGTAGTGGTGTACTTACTTTACGAAAGGCATATTTACTAGCAGTTATATTCGAATCACTTGGAGCTATTCTTGTTGGTATGTTAGCGTATTTTTGATTTTTCATAATTTATTATTGATGCTAACATGTTGTTCGTACGATAGACAAAAGATCTTGAAAAACCGGATTACTGGATTGTTTGAAAAAAACGGACGACTTAAATATAAGATGGAATTTAGATTTTACTTTGTTTTATTCCTAATTAATAAGTTAGCATTTCTTACATCAATTGTTTCAAATTTCAGGTTACAATGTGACAGATACAATGCGTAAAAGTGTCATTGATTTAAACTTATATAATAATACACCAATAGAATTATTAGTTGGTCAAGTGGCCATCCTTGCAGGTCTAATTACTTTTGTTATCATTGTTTAATTTGATAAATTTATAGAAAAAAGAAAACTGTAGAAATTTATCTTCAATATTCTTTCGCATCATGTAATGTTAACATTTCCATACTATGATGGCATCATGTAATGTTAACATTTCCATACTATGATGGTATGGAAATGTTAACATTACATGATAATATGCATTCCAAACATGTTTTATTAGTACTGTTGAAGGCTTACCCTATCATTTTATGTAGTTTTAATATTGTTGAAACTTTAATATCATCTGACCTCATCAGATAATAGCAGTAAATGATAATTATACTACCATAATCTATAATCCTTCTATATCCATAAATTTAAAATCATAAGTTAATCGAAATATTTTCCGATATCATTTTCAAAAAATCAAAAATATAATCGATGGTATGTAATTTCATTACTATAAAAGAATGATGAATGATAATTGTTGATATTGGATATCTATTAATATTTCCATGATATTGCTGTTGATAAAGACATGAATAATTTCAGGTTGTTCAGCTTGGTTATTAATAGCAACATTTGCACAGTTACCGGTTTCAACAACGCATAGTATTACCGGTGCAACAGTTGGTTTCGGTTTAATAATGAAGGGAACACGGGGAATTCATTGGTGGAAAATTCTTAATATCGGTACGTTCAATCATAAAAGCACTAATATTTAGATTTTATCAGAATTTTTTTTTTAATTTCAGGTTTCTAATCAAAAAATCTAATTTCAGTATTTTTTCCTTCAATTAAGGAAATTTCAGGAATGAAAAAATTTTTTTTCAAATAGATTTTTTAAGGGTATTATGAAAAAATTTTCCATCCATTTTAGCAGCCTCCTGGATTATTTCACCGTTGTTATCCGGAACGGTATCATCAATCCTTTATATAATTGTTGATTTCACAGTTGTAAGACGGGTCAATTTATTTTCATTTCATTTTGATCAAAATAAAAATAAATTGTAATTATAATTTATAGTTTATAAAATGCTAATTATTTCTATTATAATATTTTAAACAAAATATATTTATAATTTTTACCTCATAAAAGCAAATATTTTCTATGTTTCACTTTATGATATATTTAAAATAAGGATATGTTAATTAATATAAATTTAATTTTTTAATATTCCGTTTTTTTTTGAACTTCAGAAAAATCCATTCGAGTGTGGTTTACGAGTTTTACCATATTTCTACTGGTTTTGTATTGCTTTCAATACATTTGCTGTGAGCTTTCAAGGTTCTAAAGGTTTGTTCATTTTCTTCATTTAAGGAAAGAAATAGAATTATCCGTTTAAATCTAAAATATATTTGCAACGAACGAATTGCTTTAGTTGTAAATAAATTTCGCATAAGCTACATCCTATCAATGATTTTCAGGCCTAATCAGTAGGCATATTTGGGTCAATCTTGTCTTTGAATAGGATTTATCGGCTCAATAAATTTGTTAATTTATAAATTTCATTAAACAGTTGTCAAATTTCAGTCTTACGTCTATCCAGTCTACCTTTTTGGTTGTGTTTGTCGATTAGTATTGCAGTAGCTACCGTTGGTGCACTTTGTGTCTATTTTATTATGGTACCACAATTAAGGAAATGGATTGATAGTAAAGCTTTTTTTTAATTAAAGTCCGATATTCGTTATTATTCTTAGCGAATTTAGTTGTGATTTTATGATAAAATTTCATTTTTTCCTGATTACAATTTCCAGATTGGAATGCTTTTTATAGCATAAATAAAATGTCCAACAATTTTTTCAATTCAAACATTTCTCAGCTTTATTGGAATAGTAGGATTAGTAGACTTTATAGGATTTATTGATTAATGGGATCCTTTTTGTAGGAAAAAAAACCCGAAGAATCGAGCAACCTGCTGCAATTGATCTTTCCAATATCACGGGAGAAGTTCCAATAAAAATTAAACGTATCTTCAATCATTTCATTTGTATTATATATCTTCATCTTATTTCTCATATAATTTATCGTAAATTATTTGGGTAAGAAATAATAAGTGCTAAATTTAAAACTACTTAAATGTTATGGGAATTTGTAATATGAATGCTTTACTGTTAGTGTGGAAAAAGGAAGTATAAAAATAGTTGTAAAAAATAACATCAAATTTTTAAGTTTGAATTTTAGGATAATTAGCGGAGAAAATGATATTATAAAATTTTATTTATTTTGTCGAATTATATATCTCTAAAAGCAGTTATTAATGTAGAAGGATTAGGTTTAGTTCCTTCAGGCTAAACTTTCAGGTGGAATCGTACAAATCTACATCCCACACAATAATGATTTATCTCCGGCAGAAGCGAATAATAGCAAAACGACAATCAAAAAAGAACACCCAGTTTCGGGTATATCCAAAAAACAGAAAATATGTCTCTTTTAACATAATTTAACTCGTATCTTTCATTTGCATCATTTTTTCAGCTTTAAAACATTTTGTACAATGGTTTTTACCGGATAGAAAACGTAGACCGGATCCGAGAACTGCGCATATTTTTGGTTCTATTCAAGCGTTTACAGCATGTTTCGCTGGTTTTGCTCATGGTGCTAATGATGTTGCGTAAGTGAATTTCATCAAATTTAATAGCAGCAATAAATTCGAGAAGAAATTTTTTCACATCTAAAATATTTTTCTTTTACCATTTAATGGTTAATATGAAATATGAAAAAAATTATATTTAAATATCATTCATTTAAAATTTTTATTAAATGTTGAATTTCCGGAAATGCTATAGCGCTATTGACAGCGCGTTGTATGTTTTAAATGTTATATGTTTTAAATTAAATGTTTTGTTTTCAGAAATGCTATAGCACCGTTGACAGCGCTTTTGTCCATTTACTCTAAAATGGATGTACAACAAAAAGATGAAACATCAATTTTTATTTTAATGTACGGTGTGTTAGCAATATGTGTTGGTTTATTGACACTTGGACATAAGGTTATTCGTACCGTTGGTTCCGAAATGACTAATGTTGATCCAGCTAGGTTAGTGTATTTTCATTTTCTTTTTCTCTTATCTGCAAAATAAGTTTATTAATTTTCAGCTAATTATTAGGTCAAAATCTGGTAAGTATATATATTATAATAAATATGTTTATAAAAATTACTAAGTTTAGGAAATTTTAAATGTTTTCAATTTTTTTAAATTATAGATTTCATTCATTTAACTGTATGTTGTGATAAAATTATAGTGGCTTTACGATTGAATTTGGTGCTGCAGTAACAGCATTGTTGGCAAGCAAAGCTGGTCTACCGATTAGCACAACACATTGCTTAGTAAGTTATGATAATTAGTGATGAAAAATTTTTGTTGCAAATTTGATTATTGAAAATTAGAGAAATCAATAATTTACTTTAACAGTTTCATTTTAATCAAAATCCCAAGTTATTTCATTTCGATTGTGATAACAATAGATCAGATGTTTCTGTAAAATGAAGATGTTGATAAGAAAGATACCAAGTAAATGATTATCAAAAGATTATCAAAGAATTTGAGTTATTATTGTTAGCTTCATTTCATTTTAGGAGATTATTCCTAATGATCAGATGGCACTAATCCTGATAGTACCATATAAAAACATTTAAAAACGAGCTTGATTTGCAATCACTTATATTAATTGATTTCATCAAATCAAAGTTTATAATTATTTAACTATTAAAAAATTAAATTTCAGATTGGAAGTGTAGTGGCAGTTGGTGTTATCAAATCTCATATGGAAGGTGTTCATTGGGGTATTTTTCGAAATATCATTCTTTCGTGGATTATCACTTTACCTGTTTCAGGTAAATAAATGAAATTTCGTTATATTCTCTAATCCTAATATAATGTAAAGAGTTAAAACGGAAAATATGATTCGGTTTTTGAAGGTTACTGCGGCAGACATATGAGTTTTTTAAATCTGACAAATATTATCATTTGGCTAATCTCTTTATAAACATTAAATATTTTGCATAACATTTTGAGCATAAATAATTCTTCAGCTAATTCCAAAAATGTCTTAAAATTTTTTATAACTAAATTTTGATTAAGAAAAATAGTTTGTTGGAATAAAAGTTCATGTTATACTTAGAGCCAGAATTTATATTAAACTTATATTTAACTTAAATTTTATATGCCTCTTTTGTTTTAGTGTTTTAAAGATGTTTAAAAAGAAATAAATGAAATATTTTTGATTGCAATAAATGAAATTTTATTATTGGAAAAAATTATTTCAGGTATGATAGCAGCTGCATCGATGCTGTTATTAAAGTTTTTGATGAATCTCAGTAATATTAACTTGCAAACTTTTTTCATTTGAATTGTATACATACCAACCATATAATGGTATTTCGTCGTCATTCATTTCATTGTATTGTTCTTACTTGAAACATTGATTAATAATTAATAATATTTTGTCACCTCAAAATAATTGTTAAAGTTTTTGGGGATGCTTCAGAAAGAAATTGTTACCTGAACCGGAAAATGTAAGAGCCCAGAAGTTGTTGGAATTTAATGGCAACAGATTTTAACGGATCTTCAAATTTTGATTCTTTATGAAAATTTTGTCATTTAATCGGAAACAAACGAAATAATTAGATTTTATTTAGTACGCAATATATGAAGTTAAAACTTTTTAACAAAAACAAAATTGAAGGAAGAAAATGATTGTTCTTTCTGATTTATAGATTTAAATTAATTATTATTTCCTATTATCAAAATTCACAAAAAGAAAGAAATCGGAAAATCGAAGACTAATTAATCCATTCCGGTTTTTTCATTATCCATTTTTGCAGTCTTAATTTAGTAACACAAAGCTCTCTATTGTTCACTCTTAATTTTCAGTAAAATATTGTTATAAATTTAAAATTTCATATTTATACATTTTGTATCAATTTATTCTATTTAGTCAAAAAAGAAAAAATATATTGGGAAAGAAAATTTCATTAAACTTTCTTCTTATAATTTTGATCGCATAGGCTAGCTAGAATGATTCTATCCAAGAATTATTTCTTAGTATAGATTAAAATCATTTTTATCTTATTCTTATTTTCAATGCGAAATAAAGATAGCTTCAAATTTAAATTAGAAAATGATTAATGATAAGGAAAGATAAAAAGATAAGAATATGCTTAGTAAAAAGAATAAATAAACTAATCTTGCAGGAAGTAATAAGCATCAAAGGATAGAAATATGATATTTTTCGATTACTGTAATAGTCGATACAGTAATATCTCTATGTTAACTGTTTATTTTATTAGATGATTTAAAAGATTGTTTTTATTTCGTTGAAGTGTTACAAAGAATGATAATTGATAATGGATGCTATTGATGCTTACTACTACCAGTACTATTACTAGTACAACTACTACTACCACTACTACTACTACTACTACCACTACCACTAATGCTACCACTACTACTAATACAATCCAATATAATAATTAATTGTAATTTAAAAATATTTATTAAATATTTATTTTATCAATAAAATTGTTCGGGTTTTATTATTGTTATATTTAATTAATTATTCAGTTAGACTTTTAATAAAAAATTTAATCAAACTTCTTTCTCAAATGTTTGATTAATTTTATTTAAAATTATCTCACACTTTCTTTATCAAATTGATTAATGATAAATAAGTGATAAAGTTGTTTGAAATGAGAATATCAATATGTATATTATTATCTATTATGAAAGTTAATTAAAATAAAAATGTAAAAATTATCAGATTTTCTTAACAAACCTTTCATTTGATAATGTGATATTATAAAGAGAAAAGTATAGGAACTCATGGAACTTTTTTTTTGAAACAAAAAACTAAACATTGTTAAATATTGTCGAAATTAGGCCTAAATTAATTTCATTAAAATAAACAATGATAGGAATGAATGAAATTATTAAAACATAAAACAAAATAAAAAAATATACGAACAAAAATATTCAACGATATTCTCTTTTTCTCTTTCTCAAAGTGAAAATTTCAGGATTAACATCAAACCCATTGTCATAAGACCTGAAATATGTTAATAATATATTAAGAGTTGTTAATTAATTCTAATAGTTGTTAATTAATTCTCAAATAGTAAATGCTGTACGTAAAAAGAAATTTCTAATCAATTTTCCATAATTAATTTTATCTAGTGAAATTTCAGAAATAAAAAGAGATTCAAAGATTTGTAAGAAAATCTGTGTATGATCGCTTTAATATATAATTTATAATATATAATTTATTTTTTTAGAAAAAGAATTATTGCGATTGAATTTCGTAGAAGTGAATATCTTCTAATTTTTCTTTGAGAAAAAGAGGAAATATTGTAGAAAAATTAAAAGTAACCTGAAATGGGTAAAGTTAAAATCCATGATAAGGCAATATTTCGAAATATTGACCATTGGACACCTTTCCTGGCACGAACTATTCCCACAAATACTACACTTCCTACCTGAAATACTAAACACTTTATTTAAGATTTTTTATTCTTAAAAATATTAAAATATACAAATACACTTATTATAAAACAAACCAATGAATGGGTGGTACTAATTGGTAGGCCAAGTTTACTAGCTGTTAATGAAGTTACTGCTGCACCGAATTCAATTGTAAAACCACTGAAATTTCAGAATTTTATTTTTCTTTTTAAATTCCCTACTTTCTTTTTTGAGTTCTTATTTCAATTTAAATTCGATTATAAATTATCACTTTACATGTTGCTTTTCTTAATCATAAATTGTTAAATAATCTACGATTTACACCCAAAATTTCAGAATATACTAACTTGATGAAGTGAAAAAAAAACCTGGCAGCATTGATTATAGTCATATCAGTACCAATAGTTCGTATCACTCGATGTCCAAGTATTACAAGTCCAACACATATTGCAACCACACCATACAATAACACATAGATTGGTGTTTCACTTCGTTGTCGAACATCTATACTACTATAAATTGATATCAACGCTGTTAATGGAGCTATTGCATTCCTGAAATGCCCACAAATCATTTCAATAAATTACCATTTCAATCCAATGTTAAACTATAACAAATAATTTAACCGTAATAAAGCTTACAAATTTTAATCTTTCATATTTATATTGAATTTTTGGGATAGGAATTTAAATTAAGAATTTATTATATATTAAATTATTTCAAGTACTAAATTGAATTCCAATATTTTCTCGAATATTTTGATAACAAAGAAAAATGCGATGAAAATTACCCAACATCATTAGCACCATGCGCAAATCCAGCAAAACATGCTGTAAAAGCTTGTATTGAACTGAATATTTTCATTGTTTTATTATCAGCTATTCGATTATCAGCTGGTAGTATCCATCGAACAAATTTCATTACTGCTAGAGAAAAAAATATTTCGCTATAGCTTATTAGGAATAATTTAAAATTTGAAAAATGTAAGATATTTATTCATCTAAAAGTTAATTGAATGAGAGAGTGAAGAGAGAGAAAAAGGGGAGTGAAAGATAAAGGTAGAAAGAGTGAAGTAATTTAGCAATTAATAGATGCTATAGAGCTCTTGACAGTTCAGCTGCTTTTTGCTCTGAATTCACTTCTTTTACTCTAATTGATATTTCGCAATAAGCGTTAAATATTATTGTTCCATATAAATAAACCAAAACGGAAAAAAGTAAACTTATCCGGAAGAATGCAATATGATAATAGTATATAAAATGGCCTCTAATCCGTTAATAAATCAAAACGGAAAAAAGTAAAGTTATCCGGAAGAATGCAATATGATAATGGCATATAAAATGGCCTCTAACCATTATCTGTTAACTTTGATTGAGCCTTTTCTTCGTCGCTTTTCTTCATTGTACTTTCTACGATTTTAGCATCTATAAAATTTAAATTCTATTTGTACAAAAGTGAGAATTCTAATTCAAATCATTATGAAAAAATCAACAGTTACCAGTTAAAGTTAACGTTGAAGTTATAGTTAAAGTTAACAGTTGACAGTAGCAAATAGTTTTTTTACCTATATAGTATGAAAGGTAAAAAAGGGAAATATTTCGATTTAACATTTTGTTAGAGAAAACATAATGTCACATTCTTTAATTACAACTCATCTCTTATCCTTCTCATCTTACTTCGATATTAATTTTCATCGTAAAAATTAACATAACACTATGATATTGCAAGATATGTAAGCATAAATGGGATGAATATTGAAGTAATACATGATTTTCCGTAACTTCCGGATATAACTTCCGAATTATTATCAACTCAACGCCACTTTCAGTCTTTCGATATCCCTCAGTTTTAATATCAAATCCGAGCAACTATTTGGAATGATTACGATACTTCCAAACTGTCTGGTTATACCATTTTGTATTTTGATAGTGAAGTTGTGAAAATATTGCGTATCACTAATGATATCAGTGATAAGAATGGTATTGACGTAAACGTATGATTCCTCTTTTTTCTAACACTTTGAAAACAATTACTTTTCATTCCTTCTTTTCTCAGTTTTCCTTTAACCCTTCCTACGATGATAAAATAACATAGATTAATTAGATATGTGATGAAAGATAACCATCGATGATAGTTAAACTGTCAACATTTTCTTTCTTTGATGTTTGACATCTTTGTTGTAAGATATTATCTTGCGATTGAGTTGTATCACTTACAGTTTGCACTTCAAACGAATCGTCTCTAGCTGAATCATTGCTAAATGAATCTGTAAAACTTTAGAATATTAAAAAAAACTGGAGGTATAAAATAAATTTAATTTAGAAAAAATATTTGAGAACTCTACCGTAACCTGTAAATAATTATAATTATAAAACAATTGAATGATACGATGAACGAAAAAGGTTGAAGGATGAATAGTATCAATAAATTATCTGACCGATAAGTCGTATTGTATGAAATGGTCATTTTTTTTTTCAACTGGCCATTAACTTCTATTTACTATTACGAAAATATGTTTAAATTGAAGCTTTAAAAAAGACTTGAAAACTATTCATTGTTTTAAAATTAAAAAACAAAAGTAAATTTAAAACAAAAATAATACTTTTAAAAAAATTAAATTTAAAATAAAATTTTAGAAAAGCTGGAGAGAGTTAAAAATATTCATAAATTTTAAATTTAAAATGAAATTTTAGAAGAGTTAAGCTATTCATTTTCTAGAATTGATTATATTAATATAAAGTGAAATTTACTATTTATCCAAATTTTCAATTTTGGTGAGAGAAAAAAATGAATTGCAAGAGATCCAATTGTTGCACATCCAATGCTCATTAATGCACATATCCATAATGGTAATTTTGATAAATGAAGTACTGTAAGTATAATTTGTAATTTATTAAACTTTAATTATTTTCAGATCTATGTAATTTAAAATAAAGTAGAAAAGAATAAAATAGATTTATGTAATTTAAAATAAAAAGAAATGAATTGATATGTTTGCTTACATTTCGATCCTTGATAACTAACAGTGAAAACATTAAATGCGATACAGAGCCAATAAAATATCGGCAAAGCTCTTAATCCACAACGAAATGGATTTTTCTAAAATATAAATATAAAATAATATCTATAAGTGATAGAAATAATTTTACCAATACATTCCTAGAATTGATTATATTTAATCATTTTCAAGTTTAGTCATCAAAATAAAGTAACATGCATGAAGTTTCAAAATAAGAAATTAGACTTAGATAGAGAATTTAGACTTAAACAAAATTTATCTTATTTAAAATAATCTTTACTGAATACACCGGATCAATGGTAAATTGCAAAGAGTGGAAAAATGGAAAAATTAAACTTATAAGCTAGTTAAATATAAGTTTACCCGTCTGAGAACTGAATGATCAAGAATAATATAGAGAATAGCTGATACGACACCAGATAATATCGGTGATAAAAACCATGAAGCAACTATTTGAGAAAAATAAATAATCAAATGTAATTTATGATTTATATAATTTGGTAAATTTTATGTATCAATTCCAAAATGATTCGAATTTTTCACAATAAAGAATAGCAATATTTAAAGAAAAATTTATGGCTAATAAATTAATTAAAAAAAAATTAACAAATTATTATAATCCTAATGTATCATGAAAATAAGAAAAATTGAAATATAACTTTTAATTATTTAATTTATCAATTATTTAATCTATTAATTATTTCCAGCAATTATTGTTTGATGTGTGCCGCAAAAATTTTGTAAAATTTTAAAAAGAAAAATAGGAAATCATACCAATATGAGCAACTTTTCGCCATTGTATTCCAACAGCACCTCTTGTCATCAAACCAAATCCTACAGTTGCTCCAGTAATACTATGAGTTGATGATACAGGTAAACGAGCAAGTGTAGCAATTAATAACCATAATGAGCAACCTGTATGAGAATTATTCATTAATTATTATTTCCATTTTACTACATTAAAGGAGTGATAAAAAATTTTTTTTATTAATTAAGAAAATTAATTTATTTCTTTAGAAATTGTTACCTCCAAGAATGGCAATTTGTCCAACAAAAATTTCTTTTGGTTTATCTTCATATAAGCTTAAATTGATAACACTTTTACGTACCGTATCCGTTACATTGTAACCTAAAATACAATAGTATTCCTGAGAGTAAATTCAAAAGAAGATTAAATTTATGCAATTCATTTAAATTTGAATAAACAAATGTTATCAATTTTTAATTACAATCATATCAATCAATAATTTATTATTGATTGATATGATTCTAAATAGTTTACTGCAATATTTCCAAATATCTTTCTTAGTGATCAATACTAAGGAAGATTTTCTTTATAACATATAATATATAATACATACTTTTCATCATTAAAAAGTCTTCAGAAAGAAAACAATAGTAGTTAATATGTGAAGATGTAAGATTTTTGAGGATAATTTAAGGTTGAAATAAAATTTCAAAAAAAAAAAATAACATATAATTAACATTACCATTTTATTTGTTTGAAAGTAATTAGTAAAATTTACCAATAAGTAATGCTCCAAGCGTTTCAAAAATAACTGCAAGTATATAAGCTTGCCATAAAGTTAATACTTTGCTACCAACCGACGTACCAAAAGCATTTGCAACATCATTTGCGCCCATCGCAAAACCAAGTACAAAAGCTAATGCTATACCAAATATTAGCGCCCATAATACATCATTCTAAAGTTAAATTTAATTTCAACTTTCTCTTCTCCAAAAATTACTAATCATTGGAAGTGAAACTATTAATTAAATATAACTGAATCTGTTTGAAAATGAAAAATATTCGTTAATTTTTTAAATAGGTTAAGGAAACATAACCACAAATTATTATAATAGGAAAAGAAATTAGTTAACTAATCGATTTTTGGATATATTATTGACCTTTGTAAAAACTGTAATTAATAAATTCATTAAATTTGAAATAATTAAACAAACCCGAAAAACATCTATCAATGCCGGTGATATTGTTGAAGAAAATGGCATTAGTGTTGTCGTAAATGCTAATGTTGACATCCTTTTTCGTTTTTCGATTAACCTAAAAGAACAAACATAACTTATGAAATGGAAAAAATTGATGAGTAATTAAATATTTACTGAAATAATATTTGCTGAGCTATATCATAAACAAATAAGAATAAAAATAACAATTTATCATAGCAAAAAAGATGACAACATATTTCTTCATAGCAAATAATTAATTGGAGTAAATAATTAATTAAATGTTAGCATAGTAAAAATTACAACATAACTTAAATAATTTATTGATTTAGGTGTAAATGAAAATTTAAGCTAATTTTTGATAAGAGATGATTTTTGAAGAAAAAGTGGAAATCAGGAATGAATTAAATCAGAATTTTATTCAGTCCAATATCAAAATACGGAAAATTCCGACAACATTTTCATTAATTTATTTAATTTAAAAATGCTAATTTGTAGGATAAAGAAAAAGAATACTTTTTAAGAAAATGATGAAGAAAATTTTCAAGCCGAATTTCCTTTTAAATAAATTACTCGAGCAATTTTAATTAAATTCTCTATTCTGATATGAAACTTCGTGTCATTTATCAAAAGCTATCCATTCCTCTCAGATCACCGATTTTTAAATATTAAAAAATTACAAATAAAGTTTAATGCATTTTCTCATATGAAATATGAGAGAGATGAAATTCCTTTATTTGATATGTAAATTTTAAATACAAATATTTCGAAATTTTCTAAATTTTACATTTAAAATTTTAAGTGGGATACTTCAAAAAAAATCCTAATTAATTAATTTAATAAGTTTTCTTCAAAAAAATTATTGTCATCAACGAAGATGAAAAATTGAAGAATTTTTAAATCTTTTAAAAACTATCATAAAGAAGAACATTAACGTATAACAGCGATTTTGATAAATGATTCTGAACGATATGGATAAACAAAAATTATCCTTTCTGTCTACTCACTGTAATTCAAAATGATGGCGGTATCAGCTAAATTTGTTTTATGACAAAACAACGTTAATGGAAGAATTTCAGGAGAAGTGCTACTAAAAATTATTGATAGTAATAGTAATCTGATTATCTGATAGTATCAGATATCCGGTATTTCTCATCCTATCGATAAAGCAAAAGATTAAAGAAGTTTGGTAACTTCAATTGTAAGGCAAAAAAAGAGAAAACTTCTAAAAGTAAAATTTCTTAAACTATCTACCTATCATATATACTTATCTTACCGTACACATACTGTATTTATATCTTACCGTATACATACCGTATGATATCGTAATTTTTATAAACAAGATAATATGATAAAAGGTAGGAACAAACGAACTTTCAATAACCAAAAATAGAATTAAAAATTCTAGTTTCTTTTTTCCAATCATATCAATTCGTTCTTATTCATTTCTATGGAATAAAGTTAAGTGAAGATTTTGTTCAATCGAAGCTTATCAACATGAAAGATAAGCGAATGATATATTTATTCTTATCATATAATTAAAATTAAATTTTTACAAAAGAAAATAATTAACAAATAAATACAAAATGGTAAATATATTCAAATTTAAATTTAATTCAAATTTAATTTCATTAAAAATTAATATGAATTGAAAAATTTAACTAATATTTATTATTTTTCCAAAATATTATTTCACATTTGTTTTTCACATACTTTCTTCCCTTTCTAAGTTTATTATTAATTTCAATAATTATTTCACATACTTTTAAGTATAAAATTAATTTCAAATATTTCAATTTATATTAATGTTTTCATTTCTTTTACGTCGTACACAAATAATATAACAATTTTTGTTTACAAAACAGAATTAATAATTAATAAAATTTAAGTAAGACAAAAAATGATTTGTAGGAAATTAATAAAACAATTAAAATTTGATGAAATTTAAATTAGCAATTTCATTCGTTCATTTATTTTTGTATATTTAAAAAGAAATGAAATGAAAGAACATTTTGTACGAAAGTAAACAAAATAGGAAAGAGGAAGAAAATAAGATGAAGAATGGAAAATGTAAATAATAAACAAATCGAAAGAGTAATTTTATACTGATGGAATTCCTCAACAAAACAATCATTGAGGTTAAAGAAGGAGAAAATATTGCATGCATTCATTAACCTTGACCTCATTCTATTGTTTTTTTTCGTGGTCTAATAAATCCCTCCGAAAAAATTTTTGAACTTTTTCAAAAACAAAGAAAAACTTGAAAAGTGATAAACAATTTTGATCGATATTACTCGGAGCAAATCGATAACATAATATGAAAATTTAATAAGGGCAAAGTTCATTTCGTAATTAACATTTGCTACAAGAATTAAAATTAATGTAGAACAAAATGATTAATTGATTTAATTGCTTCATACCTTTTTTTTCACCATTACATCTAAACCTTCTCTTTTTCCTTTATGTGTAAAATTTGTCATTTGCAAAGGGTTAATAGTTTCACAAATATTTTTAAAAAAAAACGATATTGTTAAAAAAGAAAAAGAGTACAATATGATGGTGAGAGAACAAGAGAGTTTAAATTTAATTTTAATTTAAATTTAACTTTTCAACAAAAAGGAAGAAATAACACTTAAAACTACATTTTTAAAATTTAAATCTCACTTTTAAAAACTTTGATTAAATTCACTTTTAAAAAACTTAATTAATTTAACTTTTAAAAACTTTAATTAATTTAACTTTCAAAAGTTTAAGTAACTTAACTTTCAAAACTTCAAGTAATATAACTTTCAAAACTTCAAGCAATTTAACTTTTAAAAACTTTAAGTAATTTAATTTTTAAAAACTTTAAGTAATTTAGTTTTTAAAAACTTTAATTAATTTAGCTTTTAAAAACTTTAATTAATTTAACTTTTAAAAACTTTAATTAATTTCAGATCATTTTTTGGGAAGATAATAAAAATATTGTTAATATTATAAAAGAATAAGGTAATGTTATTGAAAAAAAAATCATCGAAAAAAATTAATGAAATTATGAAAAATCATATTAATACTAAAAATATTACTAATCATTTATTAACCTATGAGTTGAATATAATTTGCTGTAATAGTAATGTATACAACATCGATTGTTCTAATTTACTTTAATTATAAATTGCCATTTTACGATCACTTACAAATATTGATGAATTAAAACTAATGATGGAATGAAAGGAATGTAAAAGGAATACAACAAAAATATTATTCAATCAATTCCACAAAAATTTCAATGAAACAATCATCCCATATTTTTATAATAAAAATTTCCAACTACATAAGTGCTCTCAATTTAGAAAACATTTATTGTCTTATAAATCATAATTTCGATTTTAATTTATTTCCTTTTTTTCGGAATCTTTTTGGTTATTTAATTTCAGAAACAATTTTTGATCGTATCTCCCTTTACTGATCCGTTTATGGATTTTTTGGTGGATAAAAATTTATAGTAATTTGAGTTTAGAATAACAGATAAAATGAAAGAATTTTATGCTTTATGTAACTAATTGCATTTCCGCATATGTCGTTGATTTATAGCATAAGGAACAACAATTTATCGAAGAAATGGATAAATACAAACGTGTCAATCGTCTAATTCATCGTATTTTCATGTTAAACTATTTTCGATATTACACGGAAGGGTAAAATACAGTAGATGAAATATAGTAGAGTTGGGAGCTTAAAATTTATCAATAACTATTTTTCGTTATAACATTTCCACTCAATTTCTGGATTCATAAAAAAAAAATTTTGAATATGCTATTATTTTCTTGGAAGTAGCATGTTTTAAGGAACCATTTTCCGAATATATCCATCATAGACCTCTGCTCGATTGCAGATAGATTACAAAAATGTCTTACAAAACATGGTTGAAGTAACAATTTATACATATTGCCGCATTCTTTTGCTTCCTGTTTATTATTATCACGATGTTATCATGATAAAGTCATGACGTTATTAGAACCAGATGCAAAACATAGTAAATCATATCATCGAGCCTACGCTTGACTCATAATACTGTATTTACATATTTCACCTGTATTTTGCAAAATAAAAATATGAAAATAAATTGTAAAGCAAGAAAATGAGCTAATATCAAAATTGACATAACTGTGTAATTAGATAATTACATGACTAAACATGAAGACCCTGGATGAGAAGTTTATGATTTCAGTTATAAAATCGCCTTAATCACTTAGTGTAAGTGGTGGGTACCGCCGTGAAATCAATGACTGATGGAAATTGGAAGGCCAAATCACAAAACAATTAAGGCTCTTTTACTTTCATATCGTTCATTGCCGTAGCAGTACATTAGTATTCGTTACAGCAACAAAAGTGACAAGAACCAAAATGCTTACAAATTTAACATGAAAAGAAAAAGACGAAGGATGAAATAACTGAAAACGATCGTGCCTGCAGAAATAACACTGCTTAGGGAAAAGGGGGAAGTAAATTCCGAGAATTTCTCTATGAGCATAAGTCATTTCTTTGTGATAGAGTAGAATTTTCACTCAATCAAAAGTAATCTAAAAGTACTTGAGCAAAGAGCGTATTGCGCAAAATGCGGAAAATTTTTCCCTCATCCCAGCACTCCTTTTTCGTCTTCAGATTTTTTAGCTCTACAGAGGGCACGACCAAAGGAATAAATTCGATTTCCAACAGCCTTGTCAAACAACAACATAAATAATAAAATTTCAAAAACCGAATGAAAATCATCAGCATTGCCTTAAAAATGCCATATCGTTCGGTCCATAGGTTACATCTCTCTCGACAATAAATAATTGTATTCAGTATTTGTAAAAATTGCTAATTCTTCCCATAGACAAATGCTAAAGTATGAACATATACATATAAAATGCTCACATTCACCAATAAAACTTGGCGAAATACAACATACTGAACAAAACCGATAATAATCGGTTTACAATGACAGTTTAATAAGTCACTTCGTCCTAATTCAAAAAGCGAATTGACATTTTCTGCTCGATATCAGTCTTTTCCATTGCCTGCAATTCAGTTGTATCGTCATTTCACAAAATCTGTTTAAATTATAATTCTGATGATGAAAGAATAAAAAAACTTAAAATAAAAAGGTACAAAAGTATTTTTAAGAGTAAAAACCTCCGAAACAATAAAGGTTCCTTCCTCAAAAACAAATGGCCAGAAGCAAAAGAAAAGTTAAGTAAAAGGTGAAAAAAGGGGTCAGAAACATTAGACGTCAAACAAACAAAAACTTATGGATCAGAAATATTAAATCCCAAATAAACAAAAACCTATGTATATTCTCGAAATTTTAAATCACACAGTTTTTAAAAATTTCAGGAAGAATTTCTAAAGCATAAACATTCAAAACCACTTCTGCAGCAATTACTGCTAAGGTTACACTATTGCTCTGTGAAAACACACCCTCATCAGAATATGCTCTCAGAGATCTCTGAACTGAAAGTAAATAGATTCAAGCATAAATGGATCGATTCACCAGTCATTTCTCAATTTAGCGGATTTTTTTGAAGAGAAAAAAGCAGAACTCACCCGGCAAAATTCATCGAATGAAATTTTCCCATCATTGTCAATATCAGCCTCAGATATTGTACGATCAGCAATGCTTTCTAGCTGAAATCAATCAGAGACAAAATAACTTTTTATGAAATTTCAGCCCTTTCAAAAATATTATTAATTTTATGAGCTTTGAAAATGTTCAACTTATTTTCATTAGATTTTACTCTTCCATCTTTTAAGTGGATCAATAAAAGAATTAATTTGGAAAATTACATTATCAAATAGCAAAAATTCTGGATCCAAATAAAATCTGTTACATATATGTAAAATTTTTAATGAAACTGTAAGCGTAGCTTTACAATTTCATTAAAAGGCATACTTGTTCGGCGGTTATATTTGCGCCAACCATCATATTCAGGATCACTTTGAATTCATCTCTTGTAATAAAACCATTCTTATTCAAATCGTACATTGAAAATGCAACTATAAAGTTTCATAAAATACATAAATGTATCGGCTTCGAAATTATGATTTTACTAATGTCAGATTATTAGATACGACATTTCATGCAGGCATATCCTAAATAAGCATCATATAATACCATCATATAATAAATAAGCATCATAGGAAGTTGTTTAGAAAACGACTAAATCACTCCCTATATTTTAAGTTCCTGGTTTACTTTCGGAACTGCTCAATTTTCAAGAAACATGCAATTCCAGTCCATTCCTGTTTCTTATTTATTGACAAATTT